AGATATATCCAGTTAGTTATAGCAAGTTGCTGATTTTGTTTTTGATGCCTATAAAAATTTAAAATTTAAAAAAGTATAGTTAATTTTAGGTTATGAGTTCATGTAAATGGGGCCACGGGTCTAGTAGCGGGGACAAGCATGTGGCCCCTTTGCTGACGTCACTTGGGTTAGGCCTCTTCCAATTGAGGCTTGCCGAAAAATGGGGCCCACGAAAAAATGGGGCACAGGCCCACCTGGGTTAGGACACTTCAATTGTTGTTCATCCACTGCGTTCTTCCCACAGCCGGACCAGTGTTTTTCTCAAGTATTTCGATTCTTTGACAATGCTTGCAGTCTTCTTTGCATTCAACTTTCTTTTGAAATAGAAAACACTTATTTGGATTGAGTTTTAAAGGCTCGCGTTCCTCGGATGCCTTGCATTTTTCGCATTTGGTTTTTTTTTTTCGATATTACAAAATTATCTTAAACTATTTTAGCCTACTATAATCATAAATCTAGATATAACTTAGCCTATAGATATACAGGGCGGGGCACGAAAAACTTCCCACACAGGTTTTCTCAGGTGTTAGGTGATTAATTAAAAATCGCTCAGACACGTCAATTTTTGTTTTTTGGGGGACATCTTTTATTAGTATTTTCACCCCCTACCTATCAACCCCTAAGCGGGGGTGACAGGTACCCCCAAAATTTCAATAGGAAAGAGGGGTCGAGTGATATGCTATTTGATAGCTATTTTTATTGGGATTATATTCTCAAAGTTTCAAGTTGCTACTATTAACCCTGTCGAAATGACGGCTTGTCAAATTTGTGTTTTCTACCTCATAATAACAAAACAACATATTTTTCAAGTGTATATACATGAATCATTTTAAGCTGAATTGCTGGATGACAATACTTAAATTAAATACCAATAGTATTTTATTACTATGGATAAATACCCTTAAAAAAACTGTTGTTCTGTTATTATGTGGTAAAAACCACACAGTTCAGATATTCGGAAATAGTAGTTTTTCTACGAGTGAGCGCAAAGTGACTACTTTGCGCACACTTTTGCGTACGCAAAGAAACCCTTTCCCAAAAGTGTGCGCAAAGTAACTACTTTGCGCACACTATGCAGGAAAAAAAATTTGCCGAACATTTTTTTAAAATACGGGGGCCCCATATTTGGGGGGCAAAGCCCTGCGAGGGCCTCCTATTTGGGGGGCGGAGCCCTGCGGGAGCTCCATGTTTGGGGGCCCAGCACCGCGGGAGCCCCCTTTTTGGGAGGCACAGCTCCGCGGAAGCCTCTTTTTTGAGAGCCCAGTCCCGCGGGGGCCCCTTTTTAGGGGGCTGAGCCCCGCGGGGCCCCTTTCCAGTGGGCTGAGCCCCGCGGAAGCCCCATTTTAGGGGGCCAAGCTCCGCCAGAGCCCTATATTCGGGGTCTCAGCCCCGTGGGGCTCTCGTTTGTAGGGGGCAGAGCTCCGCAGAGAGGGGGCCAAAAAAATGTTTTGGCCGATTTAGATATATCCAGTTAATTATATATAGGAAGTTGTTTTTGTTTTTGATGCCTATAAAAATTAAAAATTTAAAAAAGTATAGTTATTTCACTCGTAGAAAAAATATTGTTCCTAACACGTGCGCAAAGTAGTTTTCCCGCACTGTTTTCCGAACTGAAAACTTGTTTTCCTAATCAGTGCGCGAAGTTATATTTTTCCGCACGCGAAAGCAGTTAGACGAACGACGCGAAGCGGAGTTCGGATAAGCTTCAAGTGCGGGAAAACTACTTTGCGCACGTGTTAGGAACAATATTTTTTCTACGAGTGAAATAACTATACTTTTTTAAATTTTAAATTTTTATAGGCATCAAAAACAAAAACAACAACTTGCTATAACTAACTGGATATATCTAAATCGGCCAAAACATTTCTTTGGCCCCCTCTCCGCGGGGCTTTGCCCCCTAAAAAAGAGAGCCCCCCAAATATAGGGCTCTGGCGGAGCTTGGCCCCCTAAAATGGGGCTCCTGCGGGGCTCAGCCCCCTAAAAAGGGGGCCCGCGGGGCTTAGCCCCCTAAAAAGGGGCCCCCGCGGGGCTGGGTTTCCAAAAAAGAGGCTTCCGCGGAGCTGTGCCTCTCAAAAAGGGGGCTCCCGCGGTGCTGGGCCCCCAAACATGGGGCTCCCGCGGGGCTGGGCCCCCAAACATGGGGCTCCCGCAGGGCTCCTCCCCCCAAATAGGAGGCTCTCGGAGGGCTTTGCCCCCCAAATAGGGGGCCCCCGCGTATTTTAAAAAAATGTGCGGCAAATTTTTTTCCTGCATAGTGTGCGCAAAGTAGTTACTTTGCGCACACTTTTGGGAAAGGGTTTCTTTGCGTACGCGCAAGTAGTCACTTTGCGCTCACTCTTAGAAAAGCTACTATTTCCGAATATCTGAACTGTGTGGTTTTTACTACATAATAACAGAACAACAGTTTTTTTGAGAGTATTATCTATAGTAATAAAATTCTATTGGTATTTAATTTAAGTATTGTCATCCAGCAATTCAGCTTAAAATGGTTCATGTATATTCACTTGAAAAATATGTTGTTTTGGTATTATGAGGTAGAAAACACAAATTTGACAAGCCGTCATTTCGACAGGGTTAATAGTAGCAACTTGAAACTTTGAGAATATAATCGCAATAAAAATAGCTATCAAATGGCATATCACTCGACCCCTCTTTCCTATTGAAATTTTGGGGGTACCTGTCACCCCCGCTTAGGGGTTGACAGGTAGGGGGTGAAAATACTAATAAAAGATGTTCCCCAAAAAACAAAAATTGACGTGTCTGAGCGATTTTTAATTAATCACCTAACACCTGAGAAAACCTGTGTGGGAAGTTTGTCGTGCCCCGCCCTGTATATCTATAGGCTAAGTTATATCTAGATTTATGATTATAGTAGGCTAAAATAGTTTAAGATAATTTTGTAATATCGAAAATAAAAAACCAAATGCGAAAAATGCAAGGCATCCGAGGAACGCGAGCCTTTAAAACTCAATCCAAATAAGTGTTTTCTATTTCAAAAGAAAATTGAATGCAAAGAAGACTGCAAGCATTGTCAAAGAATCGAAATACTCGAGAAAAACACTGGTCCGGCTGTGGGAAGAACGCAGTGGATGAACAACAATTGAAGTGGCCTAACCCAGGTGGGCCTGTGCCCCATTTTTTCGTGGGCCCCATTTTTCGGCAAGCCTCAATTTGAAGAGGCCTAACCCAAGTGACGTCAGCAAAGGGGCCACATGCTTGTCCCCGCTGCTAGACCCGTGGCCCCATTTTTCGGGGCCCCATTTACATGAACTCATACCCTAAAATTTGAAGATGACAGATGCGATGTTGCCAAAACTGATAATGTACGACGTTGCCAATAAAATGTCCCTAAATCTAGGGGAAAATCGGAAAGGGGCCCCTTGTCTCCGCCGCTAGACCCGCGGCCTCATTATTCGTATATGGAACCAATACAGGCCCCAAATTTTGAGGCACACGTAACCTAAAACTCATAACCTGAAATTTGATACCCCGTATCTCGTGCTGGTAACCTGAAATTTGTACCACGCACCTAGAAGCCGTAACCTGAAATTTGGTACCCCATAACTCGTGACTTGTAACAAGATGCATCGTACTGGGCCACCATTTTTCGGGGCCCTCCATTTTTCGAGGGCCCCCATTTTTCAAAACTAAAATCTGATCGCTGATGATAAATGGACTACCAAACAAATGAGAGCAGATAAAGAAGCAGACCAGGACATCGGGTAAATTCTACATCAGAAAATGATGCATGTAGGCCAGAATGGAGAGAAGTGTCGAACAAGAGCTTGATTTACAAGGCGTTGTGGGCTCAAAGGAGCTCTCTGACCGTAGAAAATGGTTTATTTGAAAGAGTTTGGGAAAGTGCCGACGGGAAATCCACTAAGAGCCAACTGGTTATTCCAAAAGATCGAGTAGAAGATGTATTAAAAGAAATACATGACGGAACTTCAGGGGAACATTTTGGATTTAACAAGACTTTGGACAAAACTCGGGAACGTTTCTACCGGGATCACTATCATGAAGACGTGAAAAATTGGTGCGAAAATGCGACATCTGTGCTACCAGTAAAGACCCTAAACTAGGATCTCGGGGGCCCATGAAACAGTACAACATCGGTCTCCCATCGTTTCTGGAAGGGAATTCAGGTTACCTTGCGATTTGATGTTTGGAGTACCTGAAGAAGTACGAAAAGAAATCCGAGATTATGCCGACGAAGTAAGGGCACGACTTCTGGGTATCCTCGGGAGCATATTCAGCTAGCCAGTGACCGAATGACGACCAGATACGACTTGAAAGCCAATTCAGCCAGATTTCAAGAAGGTGATTTGGTGTGGCTGTACAATCCAACAAGAATGAAAGGAGTGTCGCCGAAATTGTCTTCAGCATGGGAAGGACCCTATAGAATAATCAAGACAATTAATGATTTGGTTTATCGAGTTCAGCGCAACACCAGGAGTAAGATGAAAGCGTTTCCGAGACTGGAAGCCTTTTTTTACCTATTATTTTCTCCAAAGACTTGGGACGAAACAACTGTATAACTCTACGCAGAAGAAATGAGTCAAATTTTTGAACGAACAAATTTATACTTAATATTTTTCAAATCACTTAGTTGAATAGTTTGAATATACTTAACTAATTTTAAAGTGCCAAACTAGCCATCAGTCAGATCGTTATACCTAAGTACGTTTATAAAATTTGAAAAAGTCCAAAGAAAACTTTTTTCAGTACAGAGAAAAAAGAAAAATACGCCCCTAAAATTTTCAATCAAATACCTATCGCGAATATGTTAGTTTATTCAGAAACATTGAAAATTATAATACTTATATTATAAAAACTTCGGCTCACAGGTCCAGATAGTCTTTTACAGTTTTCAGAATTTAGAAATTTTGTAAAAAAAAATTTAGGCATGTTAAAATTATTATTCGAACCAAGATTGATATTTTTAGAAAAATTGCGCTTACCGATTTTCTTTATTTTCTTCTTCGATGCACACACAACACAAAATGTTCACACTCGAAAAAAAAGTCTAATTAATTAGGCAAAAAATTATTTTTGTCGAAATATGGATTGGACTTCAATGAAAACTCGCGGAAAAAAATTCGCGCCGGAGCGTCGATAGACTATGGGTTCTCTACGGGTTCCACGGTATTTATATAATAGGTGGTACGCTCACCTGCGGTGAGCTTTTCTGATTTTCACCAATTCCACCAGCAGATGGCAGCGTGAATTAGATTGGGGAAGAAATAATATTTAAAACTGATTATAATAATGCGACAAAAAAATCAATATTTTGTAGAAAACCTTAATGGGTCCAATCTAAGTTTTATGAGGTATGCAGCATTTTGACGTCTTTGCAATTAGGACTATAATAATGATCATAATATTAAAATCCTCTGTTTCTTATGATGGATACTTTATTTTGAAGTTTTATTGGAACAAGATCTTTTGCTTTATTATTATATTTTTCTGCTTACTCTATTTTTCGACTTGTTTTCGCATCTCATATTTTTGCTGCAGTTCCCCGTTTTGTATTAAAGTTTTCAAAAAGTGTAGTTACCACTTTTCTGCTGAAACATTTTTATCAAGTAGGTAGGTATTAAGGTATTCGGAAGCCTTTATAATATTTGTCTTTATTGATAGAACATTCTTAAATACAATTTTTCATTAGTGTAGTGTCTCAATATTCTTGGCTTGATTTTTTGAGCATTAAATTTTTGTTTTTATTATTCGTAAGCTGATTTTTTTATTTCTGTGCAGCCTGTTCTAATTCTCATATTTTTGTAAACATTTTCTGGCAATGCTCTGAGTTTTTGCTCGTGCGTGTGTTTACTTTTTTGGATTTTGATTTACGTTTTCGTTCTTCGGTTTTGAATTTTTCTCGTGAAATCGGAAATGGCTTTCATCCTCGAACAAAGACAATTTATGGTGGAATCCTATTCGCGTATTGGCATAAAAGTTGATGGGGTGTGGACTTATTTAATTCAATCGGCTCGTTATGACTATGTGGACCCCACAAAGTTGTGGATCATAAACATTTAACATTTTAAGAAAACTCTTCAATATGCGCACTTGTTAGCGTGAACCGTAAAAGTGGCAGTGGTCCTCGATCATCAATTCCTTATCTAATATCCAATATCCTTAGCAACATATCATACAATATTTCATGGACAATCTCTACGATAATACACAACATTTTTACCTGAAGTATAGTTTAGCGGAACTGGCTCGAAAAACACCCAGAATATGAGGATATGGAGTGCCGAAAATCCTGAAAAGTATGTGTCTGGGCAGCAATAAGTGTAAGACAAATTTCACCTACATTTTTTGATGATAACTAATTATTTTTTGGTCATCCTAACACAATCTGTAAATTTCAATTGAACATCAATGCAATCCGGTATCGAGAAGATATTTTACAACCATTTTCCGAAGAGCTGTATGATGATGAAATTCAGCTAGGCTGCTTCCAGTAAGATGGAGCAACATCTCATTTTACACAAGAGACTTTGAATCTGCTTCACGAATATTATGATGATTGGGCAGAAATACAGACATAAGCAGAAATACAGACATTCGTTATCCTCCCGATTCAACTTCATAGGACTTTTTCTTGTTGCCACATCTCAAAAATTTTAAATTTTCCTCTCTGGTCAACGATTTAGATGAATTTAGCCATCGATTAAACAAAATCCAAGAGTTAAATAATAACAATCTTCAAATGCTTCATAATGTGTCAAATTCTTTATGAAAAAGTTTTTTTTTTTTAAATTGTATTGAAGTGAGGAGTGAACGTGTTCAATATCTTTTTTTGTGATAAAATTTATTGATGTGCTCAATATTCTCTCTATTTTGACTAATTTTGAAATTTTTGAAACAGTCACGAGGGGAGGTTAAGGGTCAATTTTGTTAGAAAACCCCGAGAAAAAGCTCAGCAGATTAAATGTGGAAAATGTTCTTATGAACATTGGGTTAACAGGTGTTCAGCATGTAATAAAACATGTGCTAAGTACCTACCAAGAAAAGGGACATTATGTCGGAAGGTAAGGTTACATGATAAGGCTATCAGCAAGGAAGCAGTATCTAGTAGTAGTAAGAGAACTTACAAACAGGATAATAGTGAATATGAAGTAGATACCTGAAAATTGAAGGAAAATAGGTAAAATTGGAGGTTGATACTGATTTACCTTTGCTTGCTTTAAATAAGTTAAAATAAACAGGAGCATTAAAAGCTCATTGTGAAATTTTATATTTAAACCATTTTGTCAAATACAAAAATACTTTTAAATACAAAAATGTTAATTAAATTGTTAATTTCATAGTTGTAGATGCCAACACTGAGCCTTTATTGGGTCTGGATGATTATCTAAGGTTGAACTAGATTAAAAGGGTTGAAAGGGTTCAGATTCTATCAAAAAGTAAAAAGGATATTTTTGAAAAATATAGACATATTTTTGAGGGTCTAGGTAAGATTTCATGAGATTGCAGGTCTTTGCTAACGTACCTTCTTCTCTACATGTAAGGTTAAAAACAACTCTTGAAAATTTAAAAAGTAAAAAAATAATTGAAAAGGGGACTACGCTACTAGTTGGGTTAGAGATTGTAGAGAAAAAGGATAAATCACCAAGAATTTTTATCGATTCCAAACCCCTCAATAAATATATCCACGAGAGCAATTTTTGATCCCAACTCGTACCGATATTTTGAGTAGGTTTTGATCAAAATGACTGTTTTCAGTTTTTGACATGAAGGATGGTTTTTATCACCGCCAGTTGAATGATAAAAGTGTATATTTAGGCACGTTTAATTCACCCTTTGGTAGGTATCGCTTTAGAAGAGTGCTATTTGGAATATCAAGTGCACCCGGGTTATTTCAAAGAAAGTACCTACTTTGAATTATTTGGAGATATACCAGGAGACGAAACCTATTTTGATGACCTCATAATCAGTGGTGTTGATGCGTTAAGTCATTATAAGGCTCTTTTAGAAATTTTCCTGTGTGTCCTGTTGCAAGCAGGACTTCCTGTACTGTTTGCTTCAAGGTACCTACTTGACTAAATCAGGAATAAAATGGTCACAGAGAAGAGAAACAGTTGGCTGCCATAGTATTTGCTTGTGAAAAATTCCACTTTTTTGTTTATGGTTATGATGTCCTTATTCAGAGTGATCATAATCATAAGCCATTGATCCAAATTTTTTCTAAAACTCTTGATAAAGTAACTTGCAGAAAGTGCTTTTTAAACTCTTAAAGTTTAATTTAAATGTGACTTATTTACCTAGAAAGCAAATGCTTGTTGCGGATGCATTGTCCCGGGCATTTATCAAAAGTGAGGTACATGATGATCCAGAAATGGAGTATGTTGTGCACACTTTGTCAAATGACATACCAATGTCCGAATAAAAGAAAAATATTTTCGGAAAGCTATTGAAAATGACCCAATAGGCAATATTGCTAAGAGTCAAAAACTATTGTCTTTCGTCTTGGCCATTATCAGTTAATAATTCAAATCCAGATTCAAAATTTCACTTTCAATTGCGCGAAAGTATTTATTTATCAAATAATTTATTGTTTTCGGATAATAAAATGATTGTTGAGAACTGAAATGCTTAAATTGTTGCTTGAACCACATTTCAGTGTGCAGAAAACTAAACTTACGGGTAGACAGGTGTTTTATTGGCACAAGTTAGCTAAAGATATTGGAAGTCTGATATCTAATTGCGAAAAGTGTGAGACAATTTCCCCAACCCGCGACTCTTTTAGATTTTTTTTTTTATTAGTTAACTTCAAATCTCTAGATTTTTAGAGCTGCCCTTAGCTGGCGACGTCCTTGATATTGTCCTCTCTTTGGTAGTTCCTGGCTTGGTGGTGAATCCCACAATGGCTTTCATCCTCGAACAAAGACAATTTATGGTGAAAGCCTATTTACGTAATGGCATTAAAGTTAATAGGGTGAGGTGTGGAATTATTGAATTCAATCCGCTCGTAATGACTATCTGGATCCCCATGAAGTTGTGGATCGTGAACATTTTTCGGAAATTCTTAAAAAATATGTGCTTTTGTTAGGGAAAGCGTGACACGTAAAACTGGCAGTGGTCTGCGATCATCAGCTCGTACCCTAGTGTAGGAATCTCCCTTTATGCAGGGAAAAAAAACCTTTTGTAGATCGATGATTCTTAATAATAATGTTGTCTTGTTTATGTGAAATTGGTTTCAATATATGACAAATTATAGCGATTTAAAAATAATTATGGTTAGAGAAAATTGGCAAAAAATGACTAATTATGATGACTAACTTTGTAGCACTGACTTGCCAGCAGCACCTGGCTTATCTTGTTCGGTCGCCGTTTGTTTTTCTATTACAAATTGTGTATGATGATAATATATCAAAACTAAAAACGGAAGTATGTGATTTTAAATGATAAAATCAGATGAGTCTCAACACCTAGAAAATATTGAGCGAGTTTGGGAGGTGATGAAAAATCAACAAAAAAACATCAGTTCGCCATCTCTTCACATGTCATGTCATTTCAAAAAAAATATATATCTTCATAGGATGACAGAAGTGCAAGAGTTGTTGAAACCCTTAGATCTTTTCATGTGCACTCTATTGCCAATAGTTCATTAAGAATCTCTACGAAAATCCACAACATTTTGCACCTGAAGTATGGTTTCGCGAAAATATGGCTACAGAAACTCCCAGAATATAAAGGATGAATATGGAGAGCTGACAAGCTTCGTGCCATACTTGAAACGCCTTTGCTTGCATCCTGAAAAATTAGGTGTCTAGGCAGCAATAATTGCAAAAAGAATAGTTTTACCCATATTTTTTAATGATACTAATTATTTTTTTTGGCAATATCATAACAAAATCTGTAAATTTCAATTAAACATCAATGCACTCCGGTATCGAGAAGATATCCTGCAACCATTTTCCGATGAAGGATGATAAAATTCAGCGAGGCTACTTTCATCAAGATTTCATGCAAGTACACAAGGCTTTGGATCTGCTTCACGAATATAATGGAGGTCATAAGCAGAGAAATATAGACATTCCTCAGCCTCTTAAATCGTGATGCGATTCACGTGAATTTTTTTTGTGAC